TAATCTGATCAGTTTCAAAAGTAAACATGCAAAACAACAGACCAAGGGGAATCTACATGTTTAATTTAAGAAAGATCTCTCCAGTACTTATTGAGAAATAGCGATAACAAACATTCAGTCAAAATCCAAGATGCCTACCTGTCCGCCATTTTGTTTATCTGATCAGTCCAAAAGTAAACCTGCACAGCAAGGGACCAAGGGGAACCTGCATATCAAACTTGAGAAAGATCCCTCCTGTACTTCCTGAGAAATAGCGATAACAAACCTTCACTGTCAAAATCCAAGATGGCTGCCTGTCGGACATTTCGTTTATCTGATCAGTCTCAAAAGTAAAAAGTATTTTGGTCATCTCGATGTCTTGTTGTATCAATGTTACCTATATTCCGGGGTATGTTGTCTTCGTATACAGATTATACTAGTGTAACAGCCTTGTGTTTATTACCATCATAAAGCCAAGCTGTCATTTGGACAAATTTCCTTCTTTATATACGTCGGTAGTTAACGTTTCCCTTAGGCTTAATGTTAATTTTCATAGCTGTATTCTTATCTGGTGATTTGTTCATCCTCTTCAAATCGTATATACCTTCAACCGTTTGTCATATGTTCAACCCTGGCGGCTTGATTTGTTTGCAAATACATCATGTCCCTTACTGCGATCTGTTAAAACTTTTCAATAAATTTCGTAATTGGTCGCATTGTTTCCAATCCATCTCGCCAATTTTTTCCTTCTGTGAAAAAAAGTGATTTGTTTGCTTTACCATATATTCAAACAATTGCACCTATCTTCAAATAATTGAAGATATGTACAATTCAATTGAAGATAGGTGCAATTCAATTGAAGATAGGTTAAATTGAAAAACAACATATCCTCACTCTCCAATTGTATGATACTTACAATTGTATCTTCGAACAAGAGGGCAAGTATTGCTCACCTGACATTAAATATTCTACTGTACTATAAATATTTCACTCGCAAACGACTCCATCAGTTGAAACTACCAGCCAAATATTAGTTTATGGTTCTTCTTCAGAAGTTGTTTCAAGTATTTGACACTTTTTACCCCTGTGACCTTGAAAGTGGGTTAATTAGGTCTTTTTCGTTCTCAAAACTTTGTTGGGCTCTTACTTACGCAGCGCAGCTACCAGATTTTTATACCTTTCAGTTCTTTGCAAGAAGTATTTGACACTTTTGACCTTTGTGACCTTGAAAGTAAGTCAAGGTCATTTTTGTTCTCAAACTTTGTTGGGCTCTTAACAACAAAGCTATCATCCAAGTGACATGACTTTCGGCCTGTCCATTCTTCAGAAGAAGTTGTTTTAAGAATTTGATACTTTTGACCCCTGTGACTTTGAAAGTAGGTCAAGGTCATTTTCGCTCTCAAACTTTGTTGGGCTCTTACGAACGAAGCTATCACCCAAAATATCACCGGACGAACGACAGACGCCTCACAATGGCATAAGCATACTAGCCCTTTGGGCAGGTGAGCTAAACATTGGAGATAGGTTCAATTCAATTAAGGATATGTGGTATTTGTACCTAGGTTCAATTCAATTGGAGATAGGTACAAATATTAAAAAATAAATTATCTAAAGAAAGGTACAATTGAATTGAACCTATATCCAATTAACTGTACCTTCTTCAATTTAATTGAACCTATCTTCAATTGAATTGAACCTATCTTCAATTAATTGTACCAACCTTCAATTATTTGAATATATGTTAATCTGGCATTTCATAAAAGTCAAAATATTTTTGACCATTTGATCATATTAACCAAAAGCACGTTCATCTTTTGCAATATTTTTCACCCTTAAAAAGTCCTGTTTCCCCTCGAGAGTTTTTGTTCATTATAGCCAAGCCTATAGTCCGAATTATTCTGACGTTTTATCAACTTTTTTCATATTGGTTTGTCGTCGGTTAATCGACGACAGACCGATATGAAAAAAGTCGATAAAACATCAGAATAATTCGGACTAAGCCAAGCCATACATCCCATCAATATGTATTCCTCTTCACAAAGTCATATTCTATGCAAGTAATAAAAAAATTGTTCACTTCCAGCAAGCTTCGTCTTCCGGAGAGTACGTCCTCCAAGTCCTTTGATGCTTTTGTGCGACGTATTCACCCTTCCAAAGTCACGTTCTGATTTAGTTAAATTTTAGGTTGGTTTTGTAGGAGGCGATCTCCATCATATTTTCCTTGCAAATTTTGTTTCTAACGTACTGCACTGCTGCACACAAATATCAAATTACAAGGATTATTCTCTCTTTTGAAAAGAAAGAGCTATTCATTTTCAAACTTCATACCTGGTATATCAAGCGAGTACAATGTTTTTATTACATTTTTGCAGTGAAATATTGGATTCTATCAACTTGATAAAACTGATATCTTTCACACTGTGACAAATATCAAGTGATATTTTCAGTGTGAAAATATCACTTTTTGGTATTGACCAATCATAACAGTATCTTCTATTCGCTGCTTTCAAAGGCAACAATTTTTTTGTTCCGATTCAAATGAAGCGACGGTAGAATAAGTGGTTGTTATGGTAAAAGTTTGGAACACACACTTAGTATTTACATTTATATACAATTAATAACATTTGTATGAGCAATCATAACAGAAAATAGCAGAAAACGTCAGAACTGCGTTGAGTATCACATTCAAAATGGCTCGCAGTCTTGTTGTCAAGCGTGACATCATAAGAATATGGCGCTAATTATTACGCTTCTGATTCCCGCTCGTTTTACTGCATCACATTTTTCATGTTTTATGCTTTAAAAATGTAATAAATAGAAAATTTAATGGTGTCTTCAGTAATAACAAATATATTTCACTTGTGTGGCTAATATTTTCAAAATATTAGTCACACTCATAAAATATATTTGTTATTACTGATAACACCATTAAATATCCTCTATTTATCTTTAAAATGACATATCACTAACTGTAAGTTAATTATGTCATCAGTACGGGCAGCTTTTAAATTTAAGTAGTCAAAGTTTTCAAAAAGATGTCTCAGCTTCTCACCATAAGTTCTCAGATTGATAATTTTTGATATTTTTACCAGCAAAATATATAACAAAATGCCCAGAGGGCCTGTATTGCTCACCTGGATATCTAAGCAATCATGGCAAAATATTCTCCAAATGAGATCCAAGGGAATATGCCAGACCCCAAGGCCAATCCTTGGAGCATATCTGCATTAGATTTTTCATGCCAAGCAATTTTATGTATGGTTATGGGGTGGGGATCTCAACTGTTTCCAAGCTGTGACTCAGAAACTAGGTCCCTAGGGTTGTGGCCAGACCCCAGGACCAATTCTAATATCATGACTGCATTTGTCTCTTTTTGCTCAGCATTTGTATATATAGTTTTGGGGTGGGGATCTCAACCGTTTAAAAGTTATGACCCAGGGGTCAAGTCTGCAAGGGTGGGGCAGACCCTGGGGTCAATTCTAATATCACGACAGCATTCGTCTCTTTATACCCAACAATTGTATATATAGTTTTAGGGTGGGGATCTAAACCGTTTCCAAGTTACGACCCAAGGGTTACGTCTGCAAGGGTGGGGCAGACCCCAAGGTCATCCTGGAAGCATATGTGCATTCATCTATTTATACTCAGCAATTGTATATATGGTTAAAGGGTGGGGATCTCAACTGTTTCCAAGCTGTGACTAAGAAACTAGGTCCCGAGGGGTTCGGTCAGATACCAGGGTCTATTCTAATATCATGACTACAATCGTCTCTTTATGCCCAGCATTTGCATATAGAGTTTTGGGGTGGGGATCTCAACCGTTTCAAAGTTATGACCCAGGGACTATGTCTCCAAGGATGGGGCCAGACCCTAGGGCCATCCTAGAAGCAAATGTGCATTCTTCTCTTTATACCCAACAATTGTATATATGGTTATATGGTGGGGATCTCAACCATTTCCAAGTAATAAACCTTTTTTGGCCCCACCCCCTAGCCAGGGGGGGTCAGCCCCAACATTTATACAATTTTGAATCCCTGCCTCCCATGAATGCTTCCGACCAAATATGATCGATATCCATGGCATACATGTAGTTCTACAGAAGAAGTCATTTATAGCAAAATAGCCAAATTGCCCCCTTTTTGCCCCATCCCTCAGCTCCCTGGAGGGTCAGCTTTGCCATTTGTACAATTCCCACCACCTAGAGATGCTTCCAGTCAAATATGGTTGATATCCATCTCTTAGCTCCAGAGAAGAAGTCGCTTAAAGCAATATAGCCAAAAAACACTTTTGGCCCCGCCCCTCAGCCCCCTGGGGGGTCAGCCCCACCATTTGTACAATTTTGATTCCCTATCTCCCAAGATGCTTTAGAACAAATATGATCAATATCCAGTGTATAGTTCTACAGAAGTAGTTTGTAGCAATATAGCCAAAATGACCCCTTTTGGCCCCGCCTCTCAGCCCCCTGGGCGGTCAGCCCAACAATTTGTTCAATTTTTAATCTCCACTACCTAGGGATGGTTCCAGTCAAATATGGTTGATATCCATCTCTTAGTTCAAGAGAAGAAGTTGCTTAAAGCAATATAGCCAAATTGCCCCCTTTTGGCCCCGCCCCTCAGCCCCCTGTACAATTGTACAATTTTAGGGATGCTTCCAGTCAAATTTAGTTGAATTCCAATCAGTGGTTAAGAAGAAGAAGTCGTTTAAAGAAATTGTTGACGTACGGACGACGGACGCCATGGCATAAGCTCACCTTGGTGAGCTAACAAAGACAAATTGCAATCATGATGACCTTTAAACTTGTTACTTATGATTAACAAAAAATAAACATTTATGATCCATATTAATGGCATTAAATATAGGAAGAAAAAAAAAGGGCCATTAAATTGTTTTTCCTTCAGGAACGTGTACTATTTGTTCATCGAGATTAAATGGCTATTAATATGAAAATAAATTATTCAGTCATTTATTCGATAAATAAAATTTCGTCTAGGGGATTATAGACATTTAAATAAGATATTCTTTCATTTATTCTTAATGAACAGCATTTATTATTGGCAATTACATAAAACAATTTGTAAATGAAGGGAAAGCATTCACAGTTGTATATGATTAAACGGGAAATTTATATATAATGAAAAATTAACCACCAAAAAAACAGTGGTACCGTCTCTAAGCTTAGAGACATTATTTTGCTGCTATAGATTACAATATCATGATCCAAATACATGAGAAAATGTAAAACCAAACTGATTGTTAAAATATCATTTATATTGAATAAACATTCACATCTAAAAATATCACGTAAAAGGTATTCTTAGATCTACTCTATCTCGCTTCTCTTGGTGATACAGCGAGGGTCCTGATCTGTGTGTCCGAGCACATCCTATACACTCCTCCCCATTGTAGAACACAAAGAACTGGCCTGGCGTGAATGCCCGCATTGGTTCAGGCGTGCATATTGTGAGAGTATCGTCCGGATTTAATGAAAGTGTACATTTTGAAACAGGATGAACATGCTGATACTTGAAGAGTACATCTACTGGTTGATACTGGGACAGTCCCTCAGGTGGACCACAAATCCAGTATGGTTTTTGGGTGACGGCTGATTGACAAAACAGGGCCGGGTGATTGGTGCCCTCTACCTACAAATCAAAATTCCATTTTCAAATTACACAGCACAATATATCTTTTAAAAACATTCCGAAATGTATCAAGATATATTTGACGTGCAAATTATGGCAGAAACAAAAGTACCAAAGCCTTATTTCTGTTTTAGAAAAGAGATAAAGACTAATTCAGAAATCTATTGTAAGGAGTTGGGTAAAGCTTTAACATTGTAAATTCCTTAAAGATTTGGGACACAGCAGTCAACAGTTTCAAATAGGGGTGTCACAATTCGCCAGAAATAGGGGTGTCACAATCCGCCACAAACAGGGGTGTCCCGATTCGCCACAAATAGGGGTGTCACAATTCGCCACAAATAGGGGTATCACGATTCGCCACAAAAGGGGTGTCACGATACGCCACAAATAGGGGTGTCACGATTTGCCACAAATAGGGGTATCACGATTCGCCACAAATAGGAGTGTCACGATTTGCCACAAATAGGGGTGTCACGATACGCCACAAATAGGGGTGTCACGATACGCCACAAATAGGGGTGTCACAATACGCCACAAATAGGGGTGTCACGATACGCCACAAATAGGGATGTCACGATTCGCCACAAATAGGGGTGTCACAATCCGCCACAAATAGGGGTGTCACGATTCGCCACAAATAGGGGTGTCACGATTCGCCAAGAGTGTATTACGATATATTGTAATACAGAATGAATATATTGCGATATGTATCCCGATATATTGTCATAGGAAGGATGTGCTCAATTTTATAATTAGTTGTTGTCAGAATGTTATCAAACTTAATCATATATATAATATGAATAACATAGATTTAAGATTTTTGTCAAAACAACCATCGATTAAAAAAATGAACTTTTGAAAGCCTGCTTTATGCTTATTGGCATATCAGTTAGAATTTGTAGCAAAGTAAAAACACCAAGCAGATACATCAAAATATTGCGATACAGCAATAAGACAAACATACCACCATGATGTTATTAGATGCCGAGTCTTTTGAGGCCACATATGTTTTCATGTTTCTGGAACCGATATTAATTCTTTGTCCTATCGTCCACTTGTGGAGACCTGAAACAGATAATATCAGCTTTAACAGTTAAAGAAACATTGTAGTTTGTATCCGGTAAACGTCAGTGCTATTCTGAACAAGTTATATCTATACTTTCACATGGGGCATGAATTTATGAAATTGTACATCAATAGCAGTGTATGCCTTCCAATATCAAGCTAGTGTTGATCACTGCTTACAAAGTGAAACAGAAAGCAGGCAAATCCAATCAGTACTGTACAATTCAATTTGGTATTTTCATTAAGCAAGAATGACAATTGATCCTCAATGAGTGATTTAGGACATGAAATAGACCAGACAAAAACTGAGAGTGCAAAAATATTTCCTGGTCACACAATCTCCTAAACAGGAATGAGATGCTATATAATATCATATGAGTATTTATGAGCATGCAAAATCCAGGAACACAGGACATCACATAACTGCAAGGTAAATACCCTGAGCTACTCTCATCACCGAACTCCATTAAAAATAGTGACATAGATTTTCTATTTTCTATAGTTTCACAGATCAGAAGGGAAAGAAACTGGTCTACATATATGTATATTTATAAATGTTAATATAAAATCAGAAGGCATAACAAAACAGCATTCACATACAAACTAAAATGTGCATATAGTAGACTTAACACAAGTCTAACACATACATGCAATGTAAGTATTCCTTAGTATATGTTATTAAAATGAGATATTAATAAACATTAAGATACTAGAAATGTCGGCATAAGGGTTCATAAAACTGTCAAAGTATAAATGTTGCCACACTCCGGCAAAAAATTCCTGGATAATTCAGGTCCAAACTGACTGCAGTAAGCAGGCAACCTATAAAAAATGTTATTTTGATTCTTGATACAGAACATGGAATTGTACAATTCATAATTCATGGGCAAATTAATCTTTTCAAAAATAGGGAATCAAACTTCGTTCTACAGCTAGCATAACAGCCTACAGTGCCAATTTCTGATTGAGAAATGAAAACCCTGCTTAAAACAAGGATATTGTCAGTGACTGAACCATTATTTCCAAGAATAAGCTAATATTTCAGACTGTCCAGCAAACTGAGCAAGGTTAATGTTTTTCCTAATCACAATGAAAATAGATATTTCAATTGTTTCATTTCTGTATTTTTTTCTTTTTATGGTTAAGCATGCTCCTTGTACCAATACTTTTTTTAGCCAGTGTTTGTATATTGCTAAAATGAATTGATGTATGCCGATATGCGCACATGTGTGTGTCATGTGTGATCAGATAATTCAAAGAAAACAAGCAACAAAATACACATTTTACGTAGTTTCTTCTTGGTTTTAAATATCATTTTACATTAATTGAAAAATATTCATATTTAAATAAAATTAAAAAAATCAGAGATTGATTTTCGGAGCATGAACATCGTTTTTTCTCCAGATTTTTTGGGTGCGCAAAATATTCGAGCAGAAGCTTTTTTTCCGATTTTCAACCTCAAAAAGTACCTGCGCAAATTACACAGGTGCGCAAATTACATGGGTTTTTACGGTATATATATGTAAACAAATTGGAAAAAAATCTTGTCTTTTTTTAACCATGAATAACCAGAAATAAAATTTCCACATTTCACAAGATTCAAAACATCTTACAATGAAAAATATCTTGGTGTTTATAGGCTATTTTATAAACAAATATTTTTTTCCAATGGCTGCAACCTTATAGACGCACTTCAGTTTAACTTTTTCCAATTTTTGTTTCATTTCATTGTTTGTAGGTTTTATAATAAACATTTAAAACTGAGCTGAGTTACTATTTACATCAGTGCTATGAGTTTGTGCAATGGAGATGTATCTAGTAGCGCTTTAACAAAGAAATTTAATGCCTGCAATAAGCTCCATATGTGCCAGGCCATAACTATGGAAAACACCTCACATTTAAAAGTCATCCAGTCATGCTGCACTAATGAAGGGGCTCCATGACAGATATATCATGAAAATGCTTCTTATCTGACAGTTAATGTAACTAGAAAATGTCTGTAAGACATAAATGCCCCGCTGCCATGTGAAATTAGTTTCAGTGTTCTATAAAAAGTTACAACCACTTTGATCTTGATACCCTGAAACATGCACACACACAAGGTGTACTACACTTTAAGTTGATTTCAATATTCATATGTTTTTTTTGTATGGTATTGCCATCTCCATAACATACTGAATGAAGTTGCTAAGTGTTTAAATTGAATCAGTAGATGATTTTCTATATATAGCAACAGTGACCTTGGCCTTGACCTTGGAACCCTGAAACACAACAATGTCCAAAGTATACTCATACTTGACCTTTGCATAAAGTTTGACCAAAATCTATCAAAGAATGAAGTTGCTAAGTGTTTACATTGAATCGGAACGGGACGGGAAGGGAGGGACATGGTTAACACTATATGCCCCCCCCATTTTATGGCCGTGGGCATAACAAAGCATGGTGGGATAACGAGCCAACACCTCAAAAGAAACAATAAAAACTTGATATAATGCCACTTGTTTCATTTGCCACTTCGTTTACAACCAATGTATTTTAATTTCCCTTTTTCCTGTTTACTTAAGATTTTTTTTATACAACCCCTTCATAATGCCAAAGCTTCTCCAGACAAACAAGTATTTTACTGTATTTATGATTTAACATTGATATTACCATCATGTTCTCCTATTATCTCCTCTGTTTCAAGATCCACAAAGTACCCAACCTTTGGTTCAATGTACTGAAAATAAGATGTACCGGGTACATTAAAGCAAAGTCAATGGCATCATATTAAACCTCATCAACTGAATAGTTTTAAAACAATTTGGTAAACCATTATGCAGATTGTTGGATTACTTGAATGTTTATAAGCATGATGAGAACTCTTCAAAGACATAAAAGTTTAAACTTACAAAATGAATTTCAGAAAATATTTTTAGGATCCCTGTCCCAATGCGCTGGTTTTTTCCTATATACAGTTACCTCCCCTTAACTTCAAATATTTCAAATTAAAGTCCTGCAACGTTAAATGTTCTTTTCAGAAAGCTTTAACAAAGCTGTGGTCAAGCCAAAAAAAACATTTTCCAATACTTAGTTACAGTTTTTGGCAGTGGTGCTGGGATCTTTATGTACAAACAGCATGTTTTCACCAAGAACAGGTGATGATATCCGTGTTTGCAATTTTTGAAAAGAACCAAAATTTTGGAAACTGTTCACAGAAAAGAAAAAGAAAAAAGAACAAAACAGTACATATATGGAAACTTGAATCGTATGCTGGACCATTTTTTGAGGGGTGGGGATGGGTAGGTTGTGTATGAGAGAGCAGCATAGAATTTGAGCAAGCCAGCACAATGTTTAGATTTAAAACCATTACTATGGAAAAACTTTAATTTTGCATACTCACATTTTCAATGAATTTTGAGAAATTTGTTTTTCCGATGTAACATAAACCCATACTCTGCAAAAGCAAGAAAAATGTTATCAATATACTGAAATGTTTCATTCATATTGCTTAAATGGAGGAAAAGAAGGTAAAAGGATAAATTTGAAAAAAATTCACCTCTTCCTCTACAGATACAATAGTAACATGAAAAATATTATTACTTCTTTTTTTTTTGCTATTCTCTCCAATCCTGATTCTATTGCAATCTTCTTCACATCTTTTTTCAACATACTCCCCACAGGGAATATAGTCCTTTCCAGAGTCTTCTGAGGAATCTGAGCCAAGAAAAATGTCTGGTCCTTTACAGGGTCCAGCCCTCGCAGTAACTTGACACCTGCAAATGTATTTTAAAATGAAAATCCTATTTAACAGAAAAATTATTAGCGTTGGGAATCATTTGAAAACAAACAAACTCTTGACTCTTTGATCATCTTAGAAGATGACCAACAGTCTACAGCAGTTTTGATGAGTTTTCTTCTCTGCATCCATGCATACATCAAGACCAACATTAAAGAAAACTAGACACTTCTAACAATTATTAGCAATCATCCTTAAGAAACTTGTAATATATCCATCAGCATATAGGTAATATTTTCTCTTGTACTTAACAGGTGTGTCTCCCGTTTTGTTACAGCTTGTTACACCCTAGCAGGGGATATATATAACCTCATACAGAATATATAGCATGCGTCAAATTGTGACAGAACAAAGTAACAAAAAGAAAATGGTAGTTTCAATAGTGGTGACTGAAACAAAAAGATGGGATAAAAAAACTATCCTCTACCCTAAAGGTGTAGCAGAGAATTCTCCTACCCACTGAGAGATTATTTGGTTGTTTTACCCTCAACAGCACTTCTGGTTAGACAAACAGATAATTCACCTCTTGGGTTCGAAAATGTTCTATATCACAGCCTCAAGGTACATAGGGGAAAATTCTATTAATTTATGATTGTAACATTTGATTGCCAACTTTTTAGTCCTTAAGTCCCGACAGGCATTAATATGTAATAGGTTAAATACGATACCTGCCTTTAGTCCTTAAGTCCCGACAGGCATTTATATGTAATAGGTTAAATACGATACCTGCCTTTGGATAAGTCTGCATTCTCCATATCATGTTCTATACTTGTCCTGGCATAGTGACCAGTGGCTATGGCGTCTGCATTAAATTCATTTCTAGCCGTGTCGAAGAATTCACCAAACTTAATGTAGCGGTTACAGTAGATGTCAGGGACTGAACTCAAACCATTCTTATGATCTTCCAGAAATTGGCTGCAAATAGACCATGAATTATGAAAATATCTTCAATTTTCTTTCTCCAAAATTACATTTTTTTTTTGAAAATCTGGACAGAGGTATGAAATGAAGAAATAAATACAATGTAAATTAGGAAAATAAATAATTTAATTTATTAATATATCTTTCAGTAAAATTATTTTGAAATTATGAACAGGAGAGTATATATAAGAGCCAACATCAGTCCAAATTTGTATGGGTTGTTCTGTTGTGTGCTGCACTTGTGCATGGATACCAAAGGTATGCAAAGTGATCAATGAAATAGTAAATATAATAAAGGGAAGAATCTATCACAATTTGATCAAGCCTCACCAGCAAGTGGTACTTATTTCTGGTGACGCTTGATCAGCAGGCTGTGACAAATTCTAAGTCCTTTTCATCTTTTGAATTGCTACATTCCTTTGTTATTTCGTTAAATTTAATGTACATGCACACAGTACATATTAAGCAAGTTAATGATACTGCTTGAATTTTAAATAATTTTCAGTAAATGAAAGTAAAATCTGAGTCAGGTCAGCAATTTCCACTTATGAAGATTATAACACAGCCATCATAAGATGCATGACTAAATTCGGTGTTTGATTTGCACTAATAACTACACTGTATACCTGAAAACCTCATTCCAATATTCTTTGACAAAGCTGACGTTATGTAATGGCAGGTTGAGATGTTCACAAATGAATTGGGCATCCTCAAAATCTTTATCTGCTTGGCATTCACCCTTTTCATTTAACTTGTCCCAATTTGTCATAAAAAGGCCAATCACTTCATATCCTAGATAATACAGGAAAAATCCAATTATCAACAAAATTATTTTTCTTAATATATCAAAAAGAAGCATATTTGTATACAAGGTAAAAAGAATGACACAGACTAATATCTGAAATTTTGCATACAATTACTTTGACCCAAGTTTTATTTTTACTGCAACTGCACTATAGTACTACACATCTTGACAAAACTCAAACAAAATATGATTGGTAACATTAAGAATGCGGTTTAATTGTCTTTTATTTTTACTATTATTCTTTTTAGATACAGCTTTGATTTGTTTTATTTTCGCTATATTAGCGTGTATTCTGTCAATTTTTAGCTTTTGCTACATTAGCATATATGTAAATTAGACAATTTGTCTTTTAATTAAAACCATAATGGGTTAAGCACGGAATATATTTCGTGCTTCTGTGATAATTTTATTGTAATTGTATTGAACGACCGTTTAAATTATGAAATAACTGTGATATGAATTGCTGTTTTAGTAGACCAACAATTATTTTATGTACATTTATTTGCTGTGATACTACTTTGTCTTTTAACTAACCAATTTTACTAACAGAGGACCCTGTGGAAGATTAGCTTTGCTAAACAGGTTTTGTATCCTCAATAAATATAGTTTATTATTATTATTATTATTATCTGTACATTTGTATGGTTCAGTGCACAAGGGTAAGACACAGACCAACCCTATTATGTGTATATAATTTAAAGGGAAATAACATTCCAAAGAAGTGATCCATATATAATTTCATTCAAATTCATTTTTCACTAAGTCAATTAATTAAGGTCATTCTTGGGGAACTATTATAAACTCAACTTAAAGACATATGGCTAGGCTTTCCTAAGGGGTAGAAGTTGATCTAGCTGTACCTTGTCCCTGTGGTTTAGTGGATAATTGGACAATGCTGACTATGTAATGCTATTGGAGCATTGTGCACTACAAGTAGAGAACTGTGACAGGCATATTAACACACATGTATCAGGGACATGATGAGGAATCCCTCAAAGAAAAATTCAAAAATATCATAAGTAAATGAATATAAAGCAATATTTTCATGGGTTACAAGCTCTACTTTGCTGTCAGAACCATAACTGTTCTACTAGTTTTCACTCACTGGGTAGCCCAAGTTTCCTCTGGTCCTGAAACCAGACTTTTAGACATTTTGACTGCCCTGGTATAACCAATGGGGGTCCAATATTTGATGTCTATTGCCCTGGTCTAACCAATGGGGTCCAATATTTGATGTATATTGCCCTTGTCTTACCAATGGTGTTCAATATTTAACATATATTGCCCTTGTCTTACCAATGGGGTCCAATATCAGACATCTATCTGTAAAAGATGTGGATTAATTAGGTTGCCTTACAAGCGTCAGATATGTAGGGAATTTCCCTTTAGCTTAGTGGTAGAGCATCAGGCTGGAGAGCCAAGGGTCCCGGGTTCGAGCCCCAGTGATGGCACTATCTTTATCACTTTTCCTCGTCCTATTACAAACTGGTGCCGTTGACCCTCCCCCTTTAAGGTAGGAGAACCCTTGGCGGGCAGTCAGTCAAAGAACCTAGGTTGGTGTTTGAAAAAAGGGGGGAATAGTGTAAAAGATGTGGATTAATTAGGATGCCTTAAAACCAGCTGTAGGGAATTCCACTTTAGCTTCGAGGTAGAGCATCAGGCTGGAGAGCCAAGGGTTGCAGGTTTGAGCCCCAGTGACGGCACTATCTTTATCACTTTTCCTCATCCTATTACATATCTGTCAAAATGTCTAAAAGTCTGGTTTCAGGGCCAGAGGAAACTCAAGCAAACTAATAAGGGTGACCTGTTTTACCAAATCTGCATAAACCACAGGAGACTGATCATGTTTTATCAATATAACTAAAATAATCTGTATCGATATATAAAACATTATACAGTGTACAGATTGTTGTAGATAAATTCATAAAAAGTCAAGACTCATGTGCAAAACCTACCACACATTTTGAATATTTTTGTTACTCGACTTTCAAATTCAATAATCCGAAATATTTGACCACCTCCTTTTAAAAGTGATTTAATTCTAGCTGCAATAACGCAGCTTCTGACCACAGGAGCCTAAAGTTCTGTCAATAATGAATAATAACAGTATAGGTGTTTGAAAATCTGACTTTAAATTGAGATAAAAATCATATAAAAAATAAGGGTTTAACATTACTATAAAAAGTACCCTTATTTTTTGATATATGATTTTTATCTGAATTTACAGTCAGAATTTCAAACACGTATGAATAACAGTAATACACAAAAATACCTTTAGGTATTTTTTGTGTATTACTGTTATTATTCATTATTGACAGAACTTCAGGCACCTGTGCTTCTGACAACAAGATAATTCATATATGTATTGCGTCTCCTCGACCTCATCAAATGTTCTTAGACCGAGTCATTGAAACAACATAACCTTTTTTCTTGAGAAGAAGTGCTGAAACAGCACTATCAACTCCGCCAGATATACCACAGACGACACGTCTGATATTTCGAAACATCTTGACCCATCAATCAGTCTCAATCAAGTGAATACATTGCTACATTATATTCCTCTCGTGACAAGTTACTTTCGTCTGCTGTCTTCTCATCATGCTTGCTTGGCAATACCGCACGCTCTTATGAAAATCCACGCTGATTGGAGGAAGTTTGAAACACCAGCCAATCAAAAACGGTATGACAAAAGATATAATTTTCTTTTCGAGTTGCCTTTGGAACTACCGCCAGAGAGATAAAAAAACACGAGAAATCTTCAAACATGGATGCCGGTCACAAATAATTTCCGTATTGAAAAGGTTTTTTCTTTTCTCTTGGGAAGGCCTGAAACGGATTTGTCAGAATGAGTGAACCATCGGATTTAGCAGACACGATAAAACCAGAAGACATACATTCTTTGCTGGAACATTGTAATAAGACGACTCACAAAGTGAAAGATGGCGACATACAGGTTGTTGTTTTTGTTGATAAAATGATCAGTTGTCTGAGTTGATCATAAGATGACATGAAAGCGAAACTGCACATTCAAACGTGCAGTTGATATTGAACAAAATGATATGGAGGTCAATTTATACCGCGGAGAGCGTGTGTTCAATTTATCTTGCACTTTAAAGAAAAATATGCTATATAGTATATAATATACCTAATAAAATGTAGTCTGTTAAACAGGCTGGGCACAACGACGTATATGGGTAATAAATTAACAATCCTGCATTAGGGTAACAGTTACCCGTTTGAGTAACAATTTTAGTACTGAACTGGGGAATTAAATAAAGACACACAAAGTTCTTTTAAACACTTGCAATTGGAACAAAACAGGGCGTTATTCCAATAAATAACACAATGAAGTACATTTGTCCACACTTTTTTTTTTATCAATTCTAGATGTCTTACTTTTTGTGAAAAGAACAAACCATATCACTGACTGTGTTCTCCATTGACTTCAGTTCGTAGTCAATGGGATTTTCCAGTGCAAATGTGACAGGTAACCATGATTTATTCTTCTGTGTGCTCTACAACACACTTAGCCTGAGTTTCCTCTGGCCCTAACACCAGATCTGGACTTAGACATTTTGACATATAGATGTCTGGTGTGGGTCCAGAGCGCACTGCTATATGAAAACGTGGAATTCTCCGACACCATTTGGTATCGGGGAGTGACTAATCAACAAAAAGATGTGGTCTGGAAATCTTCTAAACAAGAATAATATATTCCGTTTTCGGTCCGGATCAGTACGGTTTGTTGATAAGTCACCCGGCCCCACGACCTACAAAAAAATGGGTGTTTGCTCAGGTGGGAAATTTTTTATCTATTGAAAATCGAGGACTCTACTGACAGAACTTAGCAGCTGTTGGTGATAATAAAAGCTTATTTGGATCAATAAATAATCCATTTATCGATATATGTTAGATCTGTATCATGTGTTGTGTCATAATTAAGATATTTGTTGTCAGCACCTCATAACTCTCCAATACCAAACAGTGTCGGAGAATTCCACATTTCATATAGTAGTGCACCAGACATCTATATATGTCAACATGTCTAAGTCTGGTGTAATAGGGCCAGAGAAAATGGGGCTACAGCCCACTACGCAATGGGGGCTATGTATACATATACAATTTGTCATTTTCACATTTTTTTAAATTTTTATATGTTAAAATAATGATGCCCTATTTTGGTCATACTGTGTAAAAGAACTTTGTGTGTTTTTAATTCACTTTATTCCCCAGTAGCGGATCCTG